GGTAGGGAGTCTCTGTCACTCCTTTCTTTAAATATATATATATATATAGGCTCAAAAAAGAAAACCAAAAAGGAAATATGGGTGAGATGTCCAAAAGCTAGAGACCACTGAAATGATTAGCTTTTGTTCTAAGGTGTGGATTCTCCATTTTATCACCATGCAGGAGGAGAGCAAGGCGAGCAAGTCGAGCGGGGGGCTTGGTTGCAACAGATATAGAATTAGTGTAAAGACCTTGTCTGTCTAGCCAATTTACAGGTTAGTTACCTTCTCTGTAGATAAAAGTCATATTAAATTTGATGAACTTTTTGAGATTCCAAATTTTATGTTTCCAATGTATGTGGTGCCAAGAGGACAACTTCTCAGAATTCAGAAAGTTGATGAGTTGTAGAGAGTCCACCTCAATCCAAAGTTTATACCATGCAGCTTTTAAGGCAATAGTTAAAGCCCAAAAAACTACAATTAGTTCTACCTCCAGTGCATCTTTAGCTTCAGTAAGGGCATGGAAGAACATAAAGCATTTGCTAAAAGAATCTCAGAAAACTCCCCCTAGCCCAACACTACAATCAGAAAAACTACCATCAATATTAATCTTCATGGTATATATTTTAGGAGGTTTCCAAAAAAACTTTCTCAATCTTATGATATCCTCTGGTCACTGTGATCTAAGACATACTAATATTATGGAAGTTGTTGAACTGAATCAACTTGATTAAGTAAGAAGCACAGTTTCTGGTGACCTCGGAACGTTGACTATATTTGTCTTCATGTTTTGTGATGTTTCTACTCCTCCAGAGGAACCAGGCAATAATAAAAGAAATAGATTCACATTTACTTCTTTTTCAATTGTTCCACTCCACTTTCAGATTGGACCAGTCCTTAGCAAAGCCATCCACCATAATCTTAGTTAAAAGCTCTTTCCAAACTTCTTGAGCAAACTTATAGTTAAAGAAAAGATGGTTAATGTTCTCCTCATACTTTTAGCAGAGATAGCATCTAGAGGTCCCCCTCAATCCCATCAGTTTGAGTGTATCAACAGTGGATAGTAAATTGTCGAAGAGCCTCCAACAGAAGAAAGACGTAGAGGGGGATAGGAATCTGTTCTAAATGGCTTCACCCCAGGGGACCTGTTCCCAACAGCAAAGATTGGCATAAATGGATTTAATCAAATTTTGATTAACATAACTATGAAAAATAATTTTGTCTTATGAAAGTTGACTTTGGTAATTTGAGAAAGCTGAGGCTCCTGCAGAATAGATTGGAGCTTAGATACTGACCAAAGAATCACCCTCCCAAAAATAAAACACAAAAGTTGTGGGTTGAAATCAGTGGGGAGAACCCCTAGCCAGTCCTTGGGGCACCAGTGGTCCAGCTTGAAATTCACCTGAACATTCCCTAAATACCAAATGTACATATCCTCAGCAAGGCATTTGATTCTGAGCATGTTTGTCCAAATTCTAGAGTCACCCAATTTCTTGGTTCTCTTGGTGGGGTG